ACCCCTTCTTTACTGAGTGATCAAAGGCGGGGAGTTGGCGTTACACAGAGAATTTTTCAAGCTCTCCTCCCAGAGGGACAGCAACCTGGAAACCCGAAGGAGGGCTGTGATCAAACACCATGTTCTGCCTTCCCCTCTCCCTGGTCCTGCCACAGCAATGTAGCCTAGCCAGCAAGGACTCCAGGTGCAACGAGCTGGCGGGTCTCAGCCCACAGAGTTAGCTCATCACTGGGGCAAGGGGTGGGCAGCTCTTACACTGACTTTCCCCAACACTAGCCTGTAGCCTCTCCACTGGGGTCAGGACTTTTAGGCCCCTGATGAAAAGAACAGGGAAGCTGCAATCTCATCTGGGGTGGGCGGCTGGCAAGCCCCGAAGAGGCCGAGGGCTGGGAGAGAAGAGGACAGAAGTGTCCTGTAGAGCTGGGGATGCAGGGGGCTGATCCTGGACTGAGTCACTGGGTCCGTGCGCGGGAGATCGGGAGTGGAATAGCAATGGGAGATTGCAGGGGGTGAAGGGCACGGACAAGCTTTGGGAGCGCAATGCTGGGGTGTGTGGGTCCGGGTTGGGGTGGAGACGCAGGGAAGCATGCACTGCTCATCCACTTTCAGGCCTCTCAGGGCCTCGTGTCTGCTGGCCGTGAGGATGTGGCTCATGTTTGCCGAGACCAGCCCACGGCACCCTTCCTTGAGCTGCCGAGACACAGCCTCCCTCCAGAGCACAAGCGCTGCTGGAATACAGGCCAGGCCCTCGGGCCCCACTCCACAGCGACTGAGAGCAGCACAAAGTCTCCCATGGGATTTGGCTCAGGCCCTCGCAATCCTGCCTTGATTTGCTGCCGAATGAGTCTCAGGGGCACAGGGAGCAGCAGGGCAGCCAGTGCCCTGCCACAGTAACGGATCCATCTCCTGAAGCCTGGACCGCATGAAGTGAGCAACAAAAACAGTGATCAATCTCTTTGCCTAGGCCAATTAGGCAATGTCGCCTTTCATTACTGCCAGAGAAAAGGACAAGGGTGGGCGCTGGGCAGTGAGCAGGATAGAGCACAAGGCTGATAGATAGCATAATGGGGTCCCAGGACGTGGTCTCCCCCAGTCTTTCCTACCCAAATGCAGGGGGGCTAGACCCAATGATCTGTAAGGTCCCTTCCAGCCCCTAACAACTATGAAACTATGTCTGAGGGGCACAAGCAGGATGTCCCAAGTCCCCTTTCAGCTTCCTCCCGCAGGCAATATGGGGAGCAGAGGCCTCCTTCCATGGTTGGGGTGACTACTGGGAGATTAATCCAACCCTTTACATACATCGACCTGACAGCACTCCTGGGTGCCAGGTGGGAGAGAAGAAGAACCTGCCATGCAGGTGACCTGACAGCGGGTTATGGCAGCCTGGGCACGACACAGGGGGCTGCAAGCGGCTGAAGCTCTGACATGATGTTTTACTCATGCACAGCCTGCGTTAGGTGTACGACAGAGGAAAGGGGTCAGGGAGGTACAGATTGTGGGCTCGGGCCACGTCCAAAAAGCTCCTTGTGTGAGGAAGCCTCAGTCCCCGCAGCCCACCCCAACCCTCCTCACCCACCTCCCCAGAGCCAGAGGTAAAGGAGCCTCCTACCGTCCTCGCATGGCCCCGTCCTGGAGACCTCGATGGTCTTCTTCTGCTGGCAGGAAGCCACGTGCAGTTCACACGGGTTGTCATAAGTCACGCCGTCGCTGCCGCACACCGGGGAGAAGGGCTGCCTCTCGCAGCGCAGGCACACGCACTGCCCGCCCACGCACTTGCTTCCAAAGGAGCACACCGTGCTGCCGCAGGACTCTAGCGGGACGGGGAACGGAGAAGGACCAGGAGTCAGGGGTGGAGAGCCTCATGCTGCTGTCCTGGCCCGTCAGGGGTCAGAGCATGGCTGTGCCACCGGAGGAGGGTGTCTACCTTGGAGCTGCTCGTGGAAGGGGCTGCTTCCTGAGCACAACCAGAGCAACAAGTGCTGCACATATCCAGCCCCTTTGGACACCACACTAACAGCTTGCTCCATCCATTTCCCCCGCACCCCACGCTGCATCCGCCCACCGCAGGCTCAACCTGACAAGGCAGTTGCTGGAGCCGTTCAGACTCGCTCCGAGTGCCTCTCCGAAAGCCAGGAATTGGCTCCGTGCCCTGGCCCAGCTGTGGAGCATCAGCCCCAGCTGTTCAGAGAGGCATTATGCTGTTCTGATGCCTCGTTTGTTCCAGTGCTGCATTCAGTCGGCACTTTTTAATTCATTTGGAAATTGGCTCGGGCACAACGATCTACGCTGGAGGGAGCTGGGGCAGGGGGAGCAGAGTGCTTGAAAGCTAACCCCGGGGCGGGAGGAGATGCATATGACGGTGGCTCCGCAGGATGTGCTCCTGCTGGGCTGTGGTTAAAGGTGGCTGTTGGTACCAAGGGTCTAGCTCGGCTCAGCTCAGGAAACGCTCTGCGTTTCTGTGGCACCTTCTGTTCCAGCAATCTGGATACACTTGAATGGGACTGGGGGCAATGAAGCTTCTCGATGCCCATGAGGGCAGATATGACCCTTGTTTCACAACCGGGGAAACCAAGTCATGGGGTGGGGGGATCAAGGATGAGATTAGCAAAGCCAGCTAAGGGATTTACACAGCTCCTATTGTAGTGAAGGGGACACCTGAGTCCAAACAGCCACTCTAAAAGATTCAGCCCTGGGGTCCTGGCGAGTGTTAGCGTGCAGGTGCTACACACAGCCTGCAACCTCCACAGCTTCAAACCTGCCCTTGCAGGGTGAAACCCGCTCACAAGCACTCGAATCCTGCTTGAAATAGAAGCCTAAGGCTGAGATTTTTAAAGCCAGCCTCGAGGATTTAGACACATTCACTCCCATCCATATCAATGTGTCTACATCCCTCAGCCCTGTGCTAGGCTTCGTAGCCTCTCTGAGGATGGCTCTCTAAACTTGCTCTGCTAGATCAGCTGGGCTAGTGCCATGGATGCAGGGGGAACTGTACTGATTTACATCCATCAGGGACCCAGCCTGAGAGGGTGTAAAGGCAGCTTTGGGGTGCTGGGCCTGGAAAGGGGGCTGTGGAGGTGCAAATAAAAGGGCCAGGGAGAAACTGCTAGTGATGGGAGCCATGCCATCCATCCACTGGCCCACTCCTGGAGCTGTCTCTGCCCCCCATGGCACACTGTGAACCTGAAGGCTATGGCTGTAGAGGGCCTGGGTACTTGTATTTAGAAAGCCCTCTAGAAAACAGGCCCTTTAAGAGGTCTTAAGTGCACCCTGGGCACCCGAAATCTCCTGACACTCTCAATGCTTCCTTTGCTCAAACCCTCTCTGGATGTCGTTCCTGTTACCAGGGGTGGGGGTGAGGAATGGGACAGGAAGGGTGGGCAGGAAAGGACCGGACCCCCCATCCCCAGACTCACTGCAGTCTCCTTGCGCAGCCACCTGGATGTTGGTCTGCTGGGTGCAGGCCCGGACGTGGAGCTCGCATTCGCTGCCATAGGTGCTGCCGTCGGTGCCGCACACGGGCTGTGAGGAGGCCACGCACTCCGTGGGGCACACGCATCGGCCCGTCTCTGCCTCGCAGATGGCACCAAACTGGCATTTGCCGCAACGGTCTGAAGAGACAAAACCGCACCCCCAACCGCGGGGCATCAAGTGGCTGAAATTGCCGGCTCCACAAAATTAGAGGGGCTTGTTAGTTCACATCCATTCATTAACCCCATTCACTGCTGGAGTCAACAAAAGGCCATGAATCGAAGTCCTTTGCTCTCCACTGAGCGTCATGATACAACTTGCCAAGGCTGAAAGGCTCCCACCTGCCCCTTTGCACTAGCTTTACAGCTGAGAGCTGTGTTGGTGCAATGCTGCCCTGTTGCTCTTCCACCTGCAGGGACAGCAAAGGGGACGCCTGTGGGAAGGGGCAGAGAAGTTGTGATGGACCGGGTCCTCCACAAGGACCTCTCAAGCCAACCCATGTGTAACCAAACAGGTCTGAGGGCGCTGGGCCAAGCCTTGCAGCAAAAGGAGAGCTCTGGGGACAGCTGAACACACAGGAGGTGCCGCTCTCTAACTAGAGTGCCAGATGCAGCTGCTTTCAAACCCTTTGGCAGCATCTATGCATGCCACCCCTTGGCTCCTGAGCTCTGCCTTTGCTAGGAGACATGGTAATGGGACACAGAGACCATGGGGGATATGGAAATGGGACAGAAAACCAAAGCTTCCTAATGAATTGTTAAGGCAGCAGTGAAATGCTCCTGTGTCCTCCACAGACACAGCCTCACGGGGAACTGAGCATGACTCAATGCAGTGATGAGGAAGGAGCAGAGCTTGGGGTAAGAGAAGGAAGAAGAGAGGCACTTGGAGGCAATTACTACTTGTGAAGCCCATCAGGGGCAGAAGTGAGTGTGACGAGATGTCACCAGAGCTATATGCCATTATGGCTTCGAAATGGGAGGTGGGAGAAGCGCGCAGGGCTGAGTACAATTATAAGGAGCGAGAAATTAGTCCCAGTATATCAGCGGCTGCAGGGAGAACTACAGCTCAGCTCTGCTTCACAACGGCTGGCCAGTCTCATGTTGGGGAGGCAGGGTTTGTACCTGGGAGATCTCCAAGAGGGGCTGAGTGACCTGGAAGTAGCAAGAGGGAGGGAAGTGGGGCTCATCCTCAGCTCTGGATCCAGATGCCCCCAGGGGAAGGGGGGTGCAGAGGCAGCTCTGTGGGTCCCGAAGATTTTCCAGCCCAGGCTGACACTGGACACACAAGCCAACAAGGGGCCTGTGGTTCAGTCTCTTGAGGAAGCAGGCGCCTGACCTGCCCTCTAGACCCTGAACCAGGCTGCGGGCTTGGCTGTCTCGCATCAGAAGAATGCTGGACCCTGTCACGCCTGACCCAAATGCAGCAGGGAGCCCTGAAATTGGGAGGTGGGTACCACTGTGGTGCACAAGCCCATCTCTAGGAGAAAAAGAGGTCTGCACACCCCCCGCCGGCAGTTCCCACTCTGTTCTAGCAGAAGCTTTTGCTGAGGAGCAGCATCTCCAGGCCAGGACAATGAATGGGCTGGAGCAGCAAGGGGCCTGTGCACTATGCAGGACCCTGGGTCAGCTGCCATGAATGCAGCCTAGGGGCCTGGCAGCACCGCAACCCTCTTCCTCCCAGTGCATTAGGGAAGTCACTGGGGGTGGGAGGGATGCACCAGCTAGTGCTGGGACCTGTCTCCTTCCTCCACTTGTGTCCTCAGCCTGCATGCAGACTCGGGTCAGAGGGGACGTTTATCTCCAGACCCCCTCTCTAACAAAGAAGCTGCAGGAGAGACCAGGCTCCAGGCGGCTCATCTCCGTTCCAGAAACTCTTGGGTGCTTGGTGATTCAGTGCTTAATTTCCTCTTCCCAATGAGCCTTGCTCCCCCCCCACCCCAAATCGATTCACAAGGAATTTGGCTCAGGGAAGATTTTTCTAATCTTTCTTTCACGCAGCAGCTGTTGCTCTGGGTGTGTGGGGGCGGCAGCGCAGCGAGCGATTGGCTAGGGTGTTGCTATCTATAGCGCGTTTCACGTGGCCCACCCGTGGGCTGCAGGGGCAGGAAGAGTGGGATCCGTGGACAGACATACCAGTGGCGAGAGGGGCAATTCTGGCATCCCAGAGGCAGTTTGCTTCTGCCTCAAAGCTGGGGGTGCTTCTGTCCCTTCCACCTCCCCGTATCAGCACTTCATTTACCCTTAAAACCTGCTACACCCTTGGCCATCCTTCAGCAGTGAGTTCCACGGGTTTTTCTAGCTGGGGAAGCAGGAGCCTCTAGGTCAGGCCAGGCCAGGACAAGGCCATGAGCGGGGTAATCCAGACGTCACTCATAGCACAGGAGCCCTGCCTAATAACCTCAGAGGTTTCAATCAACTCCCCACAGGCAGGGGAAAGCCCTCCCAGTGGTAAAGCTCATCAGCATGCGTTACAGGGGATGGAGGTTTGCAACATAAGAGGGACAGGGACGGGAAGGACATGACACCGTGAGGAGGTTCCAACCCACCAGATTTGACTGAGGAAGAGGAGGATGCTCTGACAGCCCTGTGTGAGGCTGGCCAAGCACAGAGACAGCCCTGTCCCCACCGTGCTGGGGCTGGATGTGTGCAGGGTAGCGTTCCCGATCAGCTCCTCAGCCAGGGCCCCTTCTCTGAGTCTGCACACCAAGCCAGGCAGCATCCTCACCCAGATTAGCTTCCTTCTCTCCATCGTCCCTCTGACTCCCCTGCTGAGCCCGCCTTATTTTTAAGAGAAATAAACCTCCCAAATGGCAGACTCCAGATAACGATGTCATTATCTCGCACATTGGGGGGCCGGCTGGCTTCATTACGCGCGTAAGTGGGCAGCGGGCGATCAGTCTTCTCTCGATCCATTGCCTTGCACGTGCCCCGATGGATGAGGCCCCCGAGCCCACCCACCAGAGCCAGGACGATGCTCCCGCTGATGCAGCGGGACACCTACGCGTATTGTAGCAGGCAGCACTGGGAGATGCTGCTGCACAGATCGCACCCAGCCTCGATCCAGCTCCCCTCACAAGAAAGTGGGGCTGTTGGGGTCAAAAGCTGCAGCAGCTTTCTCTGTGAATAGAGGCTGGAGCCTCTTCCCAGGCAGCTGGGCAGAATCTGCCCATGAATTTTGCCTGACAGCACGTCCAGGAAGGGGGAAGCACAGAAAGCAGGGTCCCCGGGCACCATCCTGCACTGACGGGACTCAGGAGAGGGGTAGGGATGCCAGGACCTGGGGGAGTGGCGAGTCCTGTGGCCTCCTGAGATGAAAGGGGCTATATTGCTAGGGGAAGGCAAAGCCTCTGGAGACAGGAGAGCCCATCACACTCAGGGCTGTGACCTGGGTGGAAGAGCCTGCCTGGTTGGGATGGAGAGCGGCCATCTTCCTAGCACCACTGCCACTTCAGCTCTGAGACTCCCCGTTAACCACCCCTTCTCTTGTCCTCCCTCTATTAATATTCATCTTCAAAGTCAATGCGCTCCCTTTCCCTCCCAGACCTGCTGCTGGGTGGCCCGGAGAGGTACGAGCTCCACTCACCACAGGGCCCTTTGTGCTTGACTTTGATCTCCTTCTTCAAGACACAGGCAGTGGCACTCAGCTCGCAAGGGTTGCCGTAGGTGCGGTTGTCGCTGCCGCAGACGGGGTCGTAGCGACCTTGGCAGACCTGCTGGCACTCGCACACCGCCTCCTGGTTCTTCACCACGCAGGTGGCCCCAAAGGTGCACTCCACGCTGAGGCAGGGGCTGGGGGTGCCCAGGTCTGCATTGGGGCAGGGGAGAAAGATGTGTGTTAGCCGTGCTCCCGGCCTGGCAATGCTGCATTTGGCATGGCGCAGCGAGCGAGGCATGTGAGGAATGCCAGCCCCGGGCTTGTGCTCACTGTCCCCACTCAGGGCCATGCTGCGCCCGGGGTGCACCTGTGACCTGCAGGGATGGTGAACAGGCCCTGTGGCTTCCATCTGGTTACTTTACACCTCCTGTCACCCGGGTAGCTGAGCCTCCTGCAGGGCTCCAGACCCCACCAGTACGGGGTGGCAGCTCCCATTACAGGATGCCCTTGAGCATCAATTGGCTCCCCAAATCCCCCTCCTATCCGGAGGCAGCGGAGGCACACAGGGCGCTCGCTGCCTGTCACTTGTCTGCTGGTGGCATGAACACCCCACCCCTCTTTCTAATCCAAGTCCTGCCTGTACGGTCTGAACCAAATTGCCAGCTCCAGGATCAGAGAGAGGCAGGGAGCCCACGACAGGGCCTCTCCCTTGCTTATAGCCCCGTTGCATATCCCAGCAAGCAGTCCCCAGGGCACCAGTCATGCCCTGAACGAGCTGAACGTCAGGGCAAGGGGGCAATCCATCTCTCTACAACCTTGGAGCTTCGGGCAGCCCCATCCCTCGCTCAGCTCCCTTCCCTGCCAGCACACAGCCAGCCAGAGAGCTGGCTTGTGGTAGCACGGGTGCCCGCATAAGGGTCTTTCTGCTTTCCATCCCCACTATCTGCTTTCTACTTTCTCCCTCCTTTCCTGGGGGGGTAAAAGCTGGGGGCTGTTTCTCCGGCTGAGTCTCACGCTGGCCACAGTTCAGAAGCCAGCCGAAGATGAAGGAAGCTGCCCTGAGAGACACTGAGGCCACACTGAGACCATCGCTACTAGGTGCAGAGCACAAAGAGCGGGCGTTTCGCTGGGCTCTGAGAGGCAAGGAGGGCAGGAGAAGCCCTGGCCAGGCAGGCTGGGAAGCAGAGTCAAGGAGAGGAGTGCTAGGCAGCTGCATGGGTAACAGGGGAGGCATTGGCGAGAGCAAAGCCTCCAAGCACACATCACAGCAGCCAGGAGGTGGCCAATCCACCCCACAGGCAGGGCTGGAGTAAGCCCCATGACACAAGGCCAGCAATAGGCTCTTGCTTCACAGCAAACTCAGCAGGGTCCTGGCTGCTCTTGGCTTCCCCAGACTTGTGCTTGGAGACACTTGGGGCCCCAGACAGCACCCACTTGCTAACAGAGGACCCTGACCAAGGTGAGGCAGCCCATCACTCAGGTCTAAGACGCGCTGCCATGGATAGATGCCCTCTCCCACTGCCGCGTTCCCCCGTGGCCTCTCCCTGCCACCGATCTGCTACCAAGAGCAGAGCAGTGTCACACCAGCGGGCTCCTGCTCAGTGCCCCCTCTCCACCCGCCAGAGATATTTGCTCGGGGCTTGTCTAGGAGACTGAGCGCTCTCCTTGTCTTCCTCCAGTGGAGGCCAGGCTCCCACTGAGAGGAGCTAGGGATGTGTGGCTGGTCACAGGCTCCGTGGGAGCTCCTTTAATTTACCCTCAGGCAAAAAGAGGTGTTTGATCTCAGGTGCGGAAACTTCCTTTGCAGTCTCCGTGCCGTGGGCTGGCAGGGGAGTGGGATGCAGGCTGCACTGCCTATGCTGCCCAGAGGCTGGTGCTATGGCTAAGGCTTGCTCACAGCCAAGGCAGGTATCCCAAGGCAGGATCCCATGAACCGCCGGGGAGAGCGCGCACAGCCCCGCTCTGCGAGTGCTCAGTGACCCCGGGGAGCTCAGGGAAGGGGGGGAACAGGAAGGAGACATTGGAAAAAGGGACGACAAGGGAGCGGGGGGAACACAATGCAACGAGAGCAGGATGGATGCAGCAGGCACATGTCGGGGGCCGAGCCGAAGAGCACGAGAGCAACAGCACAGCCACAGATTAGCACAGGGCAGGAAAGGCCAGCTCCCCTGGGACCCACCAGTGCTGCATGGAGAACTGGCCGCGGGTACAGCTCGGGCTGGTCCTCGGTTCCCACTCCCTCCCTAGAACTGAGGTGTGATGGGCTCCTTGCACCGAGGCCGGGGGAGTCGATGGGTTTGTTCAGCAAGGCTCATTTCTGGAGCAATACTGGATCTGGAAGGACCAGCCTTGTTAAGAGAAGTGTGGCCCACGCTGATGGTTTTAGCTGGGGCCATGGGGAGGGAGTGAGGCTGGAGAAAATCCCTCAATGGGGAGAAATCCTCCATCCCACGTCCATGCAGACTCCACACCCAGGCTGTCACTCGGGGCTGGGGCTGTGACGGGGACAGCTGCAAATCCAGCTGAGGCTCTGTAGGGCAGGGAGCAGTCATCTCTCCCACCTCAACGCCCTCCCTCCCTCTCCTGACAAATTCCCCTGTAGCCGAATGGCTTCTGAGCGGTTCCCACGCAGTGGCAGCCCGTCTTCCCCGCCGCGCCGGGCCTGGGGGTGCCACTCACATCCTTGGCTTTTGTCCCCTTTTTTTAAAAGCCGTGTTTACCATAATCGTGCCCGCGAAATGCTCGCAGGCAGCTCGCTTAGCCGGGGAAGCAGCCTCCGCCGGGCACAATTAGGCAGTGAGGATGCGACAAACTAGGCGTGAAGCAAACACATGTTTGTTTATTCTAAACTCCCAAATCCCGGCTCCGAACATCCCGCGGGGCTGCGCGGGGATGGGGCTGGGAGGGAGAGCGAGCCGCGTGCAAGGTGGGAGGCCGCCGGGGCCGGAGGAGAGCCGCGCTCTGACATTTCTCGCCCTTCTAGCAATTCCGCGCGGCAGCCATGCAGCAAATGAGGCTCCCCTCGCCGTTTGAACCGCCGACTGTTGACATTTTCCGGACTGCCCGGGGCTCCCTCGGAAGTCAATGGGAGTTATCGCCACTGATTTCCAGAGGCGGGAATCGGGCACGTGCGTGCCTCGCTCCTTCCAGCCTGGGACCTCTGGGCGTTTCTACCAGCAGCGGGTAACAGTGACTCGCATGGAGTCACCGTCTCCATGTGACACACGGAGAAACGCAGCTTGCACGGAGGCGAAGTGACTTGTCCCGCTGTGCCAGATTTCTTTGTCACCCAAATTAGTGCCCACAGGGCAAAGCGTTGCTCTCAAGAGAGCTAAGTGGAGGCTGGGACTTCTGCCTGCTGCAGACTATACTCCCTGCCTGTGCTGACGGAGGCTTGAGAGGCTGTGCTGATGCCCGTGGAGGTGATACTACGATGTGCTTCCACCAAGGCAGGAGAAAGTGCCATTGGCCAAATGAAAGGACCATTACAAAATCAGTCCGCTATAAGGTTGTCACCTCTCTGCTGACACCACCTGGCCTGGTGAGTGTCCTTTCCACAACCCATGCTTACACAAACGTGACACACACATACATACACACATGAAGGGATGGGGGGGAAGGGGCCAAGCATTGCAATCCTGGGCAAACATGAGTCTCTAATCATGCCTGAGGGAGAAGGAACATTTCATATCTACCAGGAGCAGCCCAAATTGACTCATCAGCCAAGGAGAGATGCTCTGGGGACTCGGTGAAGGTAATGGGGTTCCCAGCTCACAGGGGCATTCAGATAACAGAGCAGCTCCTGCCCCCATCCTTGTCCATCTCATAGAAGGAGACATGAGCCCAAGCAAGCATTAACAATATCCCGTCGCATTGCAAGGCAGTCTCATTGCAGGCAGGGAGTGTTGGAAGGAGGGAGGGGGTCAAAAATTGGGGGGGTCTGTCCATCCCAACGGCTTTGAAATATGGCCAGGGAGGAGCAGAGTGGCTGGGGAAAGTGGGGAGCAGGACAGACTTCCGGAGGAACGCCGTTGGCTGTGGAGAAGGGTAGAAAGCCAACCTCCGAGCAGAGACGTCCTGGTTGGGAGTGGTAGGGTGCTGCGTGGACACACGTCCTTTCTCCACACGGGCAACACTGTAAAACACAAGACACAGAACGAAAAAGGAAAGAAAGAAAAAAGCAACAGAGAGAGAGAGAGAAAGGAAGAAAAGGAGGGGAAAAGACAGACGCAGCGACAGAGCTCTTCCTTCTGCCCCTGCCAGACTCCACCTCTTGCCATCTCCTAGCCCCCTGGCGCCATCTCCCAGGGGCACCTTCCAGCTCCTAACACCCCCTTTTGAAAGCACCAAGGGACTTGTAAGTCAAAAGTGAAGGCAAGGCTGAGGCTGTTTTGCCTGGCTTTGCTTCCTCCCCCAGCTGCTGGTGAACAGGGAGCAGCAAGAGCTCATTAGGCAGCTCTCTGCAAAGATTAAAGCATCCGGTTGCCATCCCATTAATGGACCGCCTTTCATTTCCTCCCTGTTGATGGGACAAGTCTTCTTCACTAAGTCCCATCGGATCCAATCTTCCTCCAAGCAGTTGAGGGTCTGGAGGTGGCCCCTGGAGAAGGGGCGTTGATGCAGAAGGCTTCAGTCATGCTGCCTGAGTCCAGTCGCGTTGGGCTGGAACCACTCCTTGGTCACGACATTTCTTGTGAAAGGAGACACCCCCCCCCCACCAGGGTCCTGTTCCCCTTCCCACCCTCTCCTAAGGGAGTGGGGGACAGTTTCGGGTCTCCGGTGACCTCCACCTGCTCACCCACAGTGGGGGCAGGTGGGGATACCAAGGATGTGACAGAGACATGCGTGTGTGTGTGGAGCGGTGAGCATGGAGCTCCTTTCTGGAGCCTGGCACCTCTCTTCATCTCCAGGCAGCAGAGAGCAGGCCGCCATGCCTCAACCCTGACTCAGAGGGGTTTCCTCCATAGGCCTCACTGCGAGGGAGGAAGAGGCACAACTCCATCAGGATGGAGAAATGCAGGGGGACTGTTATGAGTTGGCGAACATGGACAGATTTGTAGTTCCTTCTAGCTCTAAGTCTGGTTCAGATGCCTCATGTCACCTTACAAGTCGTCCCAAAGACCTGGCCAGGGCTGAGACATTGGACTACAGACCCCACAACCTACTCAGCCCTTGCCCAGACAGTGCCAGTGATGGTGTTTGGTGTGGGGCATGCAGGCTAGCAGGAACTAACTGCACTCTCAAGTACTGGGAAAGCTTGCAGCCTTGTTGAACCAGCGACTTGGAGAGGGAACGCTCGAAACCCTAAGGGGCAATGCAGAAGTGACAAGAAAGAGGCTGTTTTCCTGGGCTGATAGGAGAGGCCTGTGGCTTAATCATGCCGCCCAGTGGCTTCCTACGGGGCAGGCGTGAGCTGTCATGTAGTCTTGGCAATCTCGGCTGATTGTCAGCTCTGCTTTGCCTCCTGCCTGCGTCGTTGGGACGAGGGGGCTGCTTCGCTCACTCTCCCAAGAGCCACGCGCTCTTGAAAGGATGAGCATTGCCCGTCTGCGCTGCTGGCTGGCTGTGCAGCCTGCAGAGAGAGGAGGAAGGGGGGTGAGGAATGAGATGAAGGAGAACTGAAAAAGAAAGCGGAGAAGCTGGCCTGTGTGGGGAGAGCGGGGGAGGCAGAGATGAGTTGCTGAATCCCTTAAATGTTTGTCTATAGGAGCCAGCAAGAGAGGGATTTGGGGATCTCTCTCTCTGCAGGTTTCTACCCAAATGAACCCAGCCGTCTGGGCCGCTAGCGGAGGGGGAGCAGTAACAGCACCGAGAGATGTGTGGACACTAAGAGAGACTTGCAAAGGGGCTGAGATACTGCACTGAAGGTAATGGAAAGCCTCTTGCTGACTTCCAGTGGGCTACTGACTGCTACAGAGGTCCCGCACTGTTGAACATGAAGCTCCCAGCACCCACACTTGGCAGCTGGTCGACTGGTTTGAACTGCGCTACATCTCAGCCTTTGCCACATCACTCAGGGCATTGTGGTAAAAGCCAATGACGGTACCCACCACGGTACCAGGCAATAGATGTGGTTGCCTTCTCCTTGCACGTCCCCACCACGGCTGCAAACTCAGAACCCAGGCGTGCTGCAGGATCTGGAGGATCCAGGTTCAGTAGCAGCCCTCAGCAGCTGCAATGGCCCCACTTCTCCAACCACCACATGCTCGGGCAGCCTGGAGTTTTGTTTAAAAATAATACATGGGCCCACGTGTTTCCATGCCAACCAAACCAGCCTGCACCACAAGGAGCAAAACTTCCAGAACGGCACAGCACGGGGAGGGAAACACGTCAGGTTTGCCATCCTCCTTGATTCTCTGGGCAGTTTGGGAGCGTTAGATGCTTTCCTTTAAAGTCCCAGCTCCTGGAGTCATGTGAATAGATGATGATCTCAGCTCCTGTCGAATAGAAGCGGGCGTTTCTAGCCCTCAAAGCTGCAACGAAACACTCCCAGTGGTTCTGGTCCTGCAACCCAAAAGTGCCTAACTGACAAAGACCCCTCCTGACTGTATTAAGCCGATGTCGTGCTTCTTAGGGACAGAGAAATGCTTTTTGAGCAGCTGCACGTGGCAAGACTGAAACGTCTAGGTGAGGAGGGCAAAGCCAGCCAAATGGTCCCCTAAAAGTGGGGTGAATTTAAAATCCCATTTCAAAGGTGCGATGCATACCAAAGAATCATCCAGCCTGCATCTATATGGTTTTCTATCAGTCTGAGATTAGCCATTCCTCCAATATCTGCAAATCAGTGTGCTGACTGTGTTTAACCCTCTCTCTTCCTCCATCACAGTTAATGTCATTTTGGATGCTTCCACTGCCCTAGCTGTCTCTGGTGAAACTACTACCCCATCCTACCTCATAAGCCTTCAAGACTTCATCAGAAAAGTCCACAGGTTCCCCCAGCTCCTCCCCGGAGATGATACAAAGGCACACCAAGACCATCAGAGTGTTAACAGCACCGGGAAGCATTACTTACACAGGGCACCTGGTGCTGAGGAAAGCATGGATCGGGGGAGTGATGAGAGGGGTCAGGAGCCTGGCACTGTCCTGGGAGGGTGGATGGACAATGGGGCTGCTTCTGATGGCATGAGGGGGAATGTGCGCCTGGCAGGGTGCGGATGGAGGGGGCAACGGACTGAGCGTTACAGAGGCTTTGTGACGAAGACCATCCAAATGCAAACGACTCTTCCCTCCGTTATACGACTTGTCGGACGAGACAGTGGAGAAAGAGACAAACAGACAGACGGACACACGGTAGTGACGAGGAGACAGACAAGACACACACGTGGGACTTGGGATCTGGGGAAGGGAGGAGGGTAGGAACGGGGAGATCGCTGGCTGGCCTGTGGGTGGTCGAAGGGATGAGGGGTCGCCTGTGGCTGGGTCAGGGCTGTAGTGGTGTGATCATGACTTACCTCCGGCACACAGACAGCAAGGTTCCTCCTTGGCTGTGTGTTGAGGCCAACAGGGTGGGAGAGATGCCAGGGGCAAGGATCAGGGGGTAGTTGAAGAGATGGGGGAGACGCATTGGGGTGACCAGGACCTCCAAACCATGCCACCGCTTACCACAGGGCCCCTCGTGCTTTACGGGGAGGACAGCTTTCTGCTGGCACTCTGCCTTCTGGCGCTCGCAGTCGTTGCTGTACGTCCGGCTGTCCCGGGCGCAGACGGGCCGATAGGCGCCGTCACAGGTGATGCGATCGCAGGAGCAGCGGGTGGTGCCACGCCGGTTGAGGCACACGGCGCCGAACTTGCATTCGTCCCTGCACTTGTCTGCAAAGGGGAGAGAGACGTGGTGCTCAGCATGGGGCTGCAGGCAGGGGCAATGTGGGGCTTGCTGACCTGGGTCAGAGGAAGGAGACTCAGCAGCTCAGTTCTCACCTTGGGGGCCACACCAGATGGGAAGGGGGCCCCAGAATGGACCCCCCTCGAAGCTGTCTGTGGAGCCCCATTCCCCACCCACACCAAAGAAGAGCACTGCTGGAAGGGACACTGGAGTGGAGAAATAGCAGGGTGAGGTCCGAGCGACTGGGGCCTGCGTTCTAGTTCATCTGAGCCCATCTGGTGTCTGGGCCAGTGCCCCTGGATCGGGTCCATCTCCCTTGGATGAATGGACTTGCAGCTAAGACCCTACCTGCTCCATCATCCTCTCTGCTGTCACTGGGGCAAGGACCACAGCAGCCTGGGGCTGCTATCCTGACAGGCCACCAGCAGGGACCACCTTCAGATGCTTGACTAATAAAGCCGGAAAAGACTGAGCTGGGGCAGGTGGTTTCTCACGTCACCGGTCAGCCCCCGAATGCAGAGGGCCCCAGGGTGGCTGCAGAGCCCCAGCGCTCTCACCCGCTACCCTCCCGCCCCCTGGGGCAATGTAAGTACTTACCCTGTGGCTGGCACTGCCCCGAACGCACCTTCTGGATCTCCAGCCCCCGCAGAGCGCCCGACCGTCCCATGATGCACTCGCTGTCATAGGTTACCCCATCATCACCACACACTGGGTCCCTCTTTGGGGGGCAGTTTTCAGGCCGGAAGAGCAGGTCCGCTCGGCGAGTGCGAGGGTTCACCCGGCAGACCCGGCTTAGGTCATTGACAGCGTTCTTGCAAGGGTCTGCACCGAGGGCACGGGAGGGTGTGGGTGAAAGAGAGCAAGAGAGACAGCATCTCAGAGCAGCATGGTTACCTCCAGGGTCTGCCCCATCCCTGCCCCTCAGGGAGCCAAAAGGCTAGGCCCAGCACCAGCCCAGCCCAGTCCTAAGCTGCATTGCGTCTTTCCTCCCTGGGATCTAGTCCATGCTGGCCTCCTCCATTCAGCTGGGGTCTCTGCAAGACTCTGTGCACATGCCAGCTGGTCTCTGCATGGAAAGCGCTTAGGGGTTTGTGGTAGGAGGAAGATGGCTGGCAAATTCAGAGACTGCGGGGCATGGGGTGGTCCCTGCATGCTGGGACGGATTCAGACCAGTGAAGTCTGAGTCATGCAAAGGCAAGAAGGGGCTGCTGAAGCCCTGCCTGGGACCCCCAGACAGGAGCTCCCATCTGTACCTCTGCCTGAGCACTTGACTCTTAACCTGCACCCTTCTGCTGCTTTCCTCTGCACCCCCCCACAGGTCTGGGGAGGCGCTTGGAAAAACACCTCCTTTACCCTGGGAGCCGAAGGCTCAGCCCTCCAACACCAGGGGCAATGCCTTTGTCAAGGCCCAGGCCTTTGCTGCAGCTCCTCGGAGAGTCTTCTATATGTTCGGCTCTCTGGAGCTTGGCTAATGGAGCTCCTAAATGCACCCCAGGCTCCTCTCCTGGACCATGGATGGTGCTCTGCGCTGACAAGGGCACTCATTCCCCAGGCACCTGCTCATGTTTTTCACCTCTTTCCCTGCTCCCTGCCTTAAGCAGCTCAGCGAGCGGATTGAGGAATCCGGGCCCTTGAGAGAAGATCCCCAAGGGCCCCGTGCTGCCTTCCACCGCTTG